ATATTCAAATGAGTTAAAGTAGCATACACATAATGCACTAAAAATACAGAGCTAGTCTAACAAATATAAAAGTTCCCAATGAGGGAAATAAAAAATAAGAAAAATCAAAACTGAATGAATAATCAAAGTGCAACAAAATAATCTTTAAAAATTTAAAAATACTTAAGATTATAAATCAAAATATCTCATCAATTCATAAGAAAATTAATGGAAAACTCATACACACTCTGGCAATTAAATATACTATTTTTAAAAAGAAAGGAAATGGATCAATATCTGGAATCACACCCTCTCCCTAGTCTTAGCCAGGAAGAAATAGATTTCCTGAACAGACCAATTTTAAGCACTGAGATCAAAGAAACAATAAAAAATCTACCAACAAAAAAATGCCCTGGTTCAAATGGCTTCACACCAGAATTCTATCAAACCCTCAGAGAAGAGCTTATTCCCATATTGCAGAAATTATTCCAAAAAATCGAGAAGGAAGGAATCTTCACCAACATGTTCTACAAAGCAAACATCACCCTGATATCAAAACCAGGAAAAGACTCAACTAAAAAAAAGGCAACCTCAGACCAATTTCACAAATGAATATAGATAAAAAAAAATCTTGGAACCAAGTCTTTTCCAAAAGACTTAGAAAAAATGATTCTTCACTTTGTAAGGAATCAGAAAAAAAGAACTGTATAGCTAAGGCAGTTCTTAGTAATATAAACAAAGCTGGGGGCATCAGCCTCCCAGACTTTAGGCTGTACTACAAGGCCATAGTGGTCAAAACAGCATGGTAATTGGCACAAAAATACAGACATAGACATCTGAATTAGAATTGAATAGAAAATGAGGAAATGAAATTAACATTTTACAACCACCTAATCTTCAATAAATCAAAGCAGAACATACACTGGGGGGAAAGAATCCCTATTCAATAAATGGTGCTGGGAGAACTGGATATCCACATGTAAAAGACTGAAACTGGACCTGTGCCTTTCTCCACTGACAAAAATTGATTCAAGATGGATAAAAGAACCAAATTTAAGGCATGGAACAATAAAAATCCTCAAAGAAAGCTTGGGGAAAATACTTGAAGATACTGGCCTGGGGAAAGACTTTAAGAAGAAGACTTCTGTGGCAATTGCAACATTGACAAAAATAAGCAAATGGGACCTATGAAACCGAAAAGCTTCTATACAGTTAAGGAGACAACAGCCAAGGATATTTGCATATTTGAATCAGACAAAATCTTGATAACTAGGATCTACAGAGAACTCAAATTAAATAAACATGAAAAAAGCCAACAATCCCTTTTATCACTGGGCAAGAGAGATGAACAAAACCTTTTCTAAAGAAGACAGATGAATGGCTAACAAAAGTGAAAAAATGCTCATAGTCCCTATGACTATTTGCATCATAGAGAAATGCAAATCAAAACCACCCGGAGACATCACCTAACCCCAGCAAGAATGGCCCACATCACAGAATCTCAAAACTGCAGATGCTGGAGTGGATGTGAAGAGAAGAGAACACTTTTACATTGCTGGTGGGACTGCAAACTAATGCAATCTTCTTGGAAAGAAGTATGAAGAACTCTCGAAGATCCAAACTAGATCTCCCATTTGATCCTGCAATCCCATTAGTGGCATCTACCCAGAAGGAAAAAAATCCTTTTACCACAAGAACACATGCACTAGAGTGTTTATCGCAGCTTAATTTACAATAGCCAAAATGTGGAAACAGCCTAAATGCCCAACAATACAGGAATAGATTAACAAGCTGTGGTATATGTATGCTGAGGAATACTATTCAGCCATTAAAAAGTATGGAGACTTTACATCTTTTGTATTAACCTGGATGGAAGTGGAACACATTATTCTTAGTATAAAGAATCAGAAGAATGGAGAAGCAAAAATCCTATGTACTCAATCCTGATATGAGGACAATTAATGACCTAGCACATGGTGGAGAGTGGGGTAAGGGGAGAGAGGAGAAGAGGGAAGGAGGGAGGAGGTGGGGGTCATTGTGTGTGACACATCTTTTAGGGGCAGGACACAATTATAAGAGGGATTTTACCTAACAGACGCAATCATTGTAACCTGGTTCTTTGTACCCTCAATGAATCCCCAACAGTAAAAAGAGAGACAGCATGACCTTTAAACAGAATAAAGTTATATGCTTCTTATAAGAAAATAACTAAATCAAACTGACAAAGAAAATTAAAGATTGGTCAAAATGCATCAGATAAAAGTAAATCCCCCCAGAAATGACCATATTAAAGTTAGGATAATAATATTTTACAAAATACTGTATTTTCCCTCATACATCAAGTCCCCTAGCAAAGGACGCTTATTACCTCAGGACAGCAGAAGAAAGATAAAACCTGGGTTAAAGAAGTCCCTTATTAGCTTTGAAATCACATTGCAGCACTGGCATGGGGGGAGCTGCCCCATCAGTACCCACACAGGCAGAAAAGGAAACCCTACAGAGAACTTTTTTCTAAACTCATTTCCAAGACAAGATTTTTACATTGGGAAAACACCCTTACACAGTTCAGATGCCACTTGGAGGAAGAATCGGGCAAGGGAAGAAAATGAAATCCCTAAGTAAAATATTAAATAAGAATAATTTTACTGGATTAGATTAATTTAGTAATTCATCGCTTTTTGCTGTGTGTGTATATGTGTGGGCTTGTGTGGGTGTGTTATAAAGAGGAAAAGAGAAAGAGAGATGGTAAGGATGCTGGTGTTGGTTCATAAGATCCTTCAGTGTGTAAATTCTGTCAAAGGAATCTACAGTCTTTGGACATTGAGAATTGGAGCACAGTCTAGGTGACTGGGGCGTGTCAACACAGCATAGCAATTAAAATTATGGATACAGAGCCTGACTACCTGGTTTAGAATAAAATGTCTTAACTTCTCCTCATCACAACACCCCCAGATGTTAACTGAAGATTATAATACCTACCACGTAGGGGCTTTGATAAAGATTAAGCAGATACATATGTATGATGCACTTAACATTTGTGGCAGAAATTTTATTTAATAAATATGGGTCCCTGTGACATTGATATCCAGAAAAATAAATGTATTCCTTGAGACTGTTTGGTTTGAGTATTTGAAAATACTGTATAAGCAAAAGGTGGGTGTGGCTCACCTAGCACAACTACAAGAACAATGTAAGATACAAGAGCACAAAAGGTGAAAAGGTATTAAGAATAACTAGAGGCAGAGTTTCAAGCACCACAAAACTCTCTCTTCCCTTCTGCTCATCAGTTTTATTCTCCGAAATCAGCATCCATCTTAAAGTTCCTGCCGTGATCCAGGGTTCATCCCTAAGCCAATCACTATGAACAGTTAAGCAAGATCCACATAAAGATAGTAGCTCTCATTTGCAATCACACAGGTAGAAGACATAAAAATGATTAACATTTACACAGTCTTTGCACCTAGCACTCTTCTAAGCATTTACATGTGTGAATTCAGCCAGTGAGTTATTACTATTCCTATTATACAGGAAAGGAATCAGAGGCCAGAATGATTAAGAAACTTGCCCAAGGCCCCACACCTAGTTATTGGTGAAGTTAACATTTTATACAAGTCAGTTTAAATGTCAACATATTCTCAGAATCTAATCTCAAGCTCACCCCGACACCTTGAAATATATACTATAGAGATACGAGAGAAATAACATAAATATTTACAATGGCTATCTCTAAGATACAAGATTGTGGTGGGATTTAAAAAAGTAATTTCTTCATAGTTCAAGTTACCAAAATAAACTTTATTACTTTTCAATCAGATAAAAATAATAAAGTTTATTGGCAATTAATCGCCTTCAAGATTAAAGACTAAGGCAATGTGCTTAGTTCTGCTAAAACAGAATTAATTACAAAAAAAGGAATCAATAAAGTATAATGAAGAAAAGAAAACAGAAAAATCAGGAGATAGGAATATATTGACAGATGACCCAGGTCAGAGGAAGGTATAACCCAGAATGTGGCAGGTAGGAACTGCTATGGAAGAGGAAGCCAGGCTGTCCGTCAGTGCCTAGAAAATCTGCCAGCTCCAACCCTCCACCAACAAGGGAAAAACAGCTGCAAACAAGAGAGATGCCTTCAAGGTTTCAACACGCAGAATGAGTAAGGGCCACAGTCAGCCACGACTCACTTCTGGGTTGGAGCAGAGGACAACTCAGCATTACCCAAACAGAAAAATAATCATGAAACCCCTCTCCAAAAATAATAAAGTGCATTTCCCTGGAATTAACATTTCTAATATGAGTAATTTTCAAATGATGATGCCTGATTCCATTTTATCTTCCCTGAATAAAAAATATACACAGTAAAGTATCTGGAATTATTGTAACCACTGCAAACAAAGAAATGGGCATCATCTGTAAATTGATCTAAGATAAAATATAAATAGGATACATGTTATAAATATTAGGTAAATTGAATCAATAGCTAAAATGCTTTCCACAGCTAGAAGGAAAAATGGAATAAAGAGAAGACAAAAGTTTCATCAATATAAATAAAGGTTAAAAGTGAAATAAACAGGCTCAGCACCTGTAGCTCAGTTGAGTAGGGTGCTGGTCACATACACCATGGTTGGCAGGTTCCAGCTCTGCCTGCTACACTGCAATGACAGCTGCCACCAAAAAATAGCCAGGCATTGTGGCAGATGCCTGTAGTCCCAGCTATTCAAGAGGCTGAGTCAAGAGAATCACTTAAGCCCAAGAGTTTGAGGTTGCTGTGAACTGTGACGCCACGGCAATATCCCAGGGTGACATAGTAAGACTCTGTCTCAAAAAAAAAAAAAAAAGTGAAAAAAATGAATAGATTGAAAGTGAGAAAAACAGCACAAAATAAGGGGGTAGAATCGAAGAAATTAATAATGATTTTATAGGGAAAATTTTTCAGTTAATGAACTGGGGGGTTTGGTGGATTTTTTCATATTGTTCTTTTTTAAATCCCTCCAAAGGTGTTTATTAAGAACACATTTAAAACAGTGTTCAGTTGGACAACACACATGCTTACAATGGAAGGACACAGGGAAATCTAGCATGACCCCTGCGTGAGGATGGCAGGAAATTAGTGAAGTATTCTATATTTTTGTACTGTACACGGAAAAGTGGGTAAATTTTACATTATATGCCCTTTACTATGCTAAAAAAATGGCATAGGGAGTTGAAGATAGAGAACACTGGCATATGCTGATCAAAAGAAAGCTCGTATAGCAGAATTGATATTCATATAATAAATTTTGGCTCAGCGCCTATGGCTCAAGCGGCTAAGGCGCCAGCCACATACACCTAAGGTGGCGGGTTTGAATCCCGCCCGGACCCGCCAAACAACAATGATGGCTGCAACCAAAAAATGGCCAGGCTTTGTGGCGGGCGCCTGTAGTCCCAGCTACTTGGGAGGCTGAGGCAGGAGACTCGCTTGAGCCCAGGAGTTGGAGGTTGCTGTGAGCTGTGATGCCATGGCACTCTACCCAGGGGGATAGCTTGAGGCTCTGTCTAAAAAAATAATAATAATAAAAAAATAAATAAATAAATTTTAAGGGAAATGGCATTATTAGAAATAAGAAGTCATTCCTTATTTATAAGGGGTTAAACTCCCTGGGAATAAGCAATAATTCTAAACTTACATGCACCTAAGAACAGTTTCAAATACAGACAATTCTCATCATTGATTGTATCAACATTAACAAATTCTCCCAGTCACTAAAATTCATTTGTAACCCCAACAGCACTCCTCGCAATACTCATAGCCTTTTATGGCCATTTGCAGATGTGAAACATTTCAGTTGCCCCGAGTGCACATTCCCAGCAGAGGTGGAAGGAGGAAGACAGTACACTGCCTTCTGCTTTCTGTTCTCATGCTGTAAACAGATGTCCTTTTCACGGTCTATTTAGTACTGGGTCTTTCATATTTGGGTGCTTTTTTTTTTTGGTGATTTCACCGTCTACAATGGCCCCCAAGTGTAAACTTGAATTTCTATTTAGTGTTCATAAGGACTGAAAGAGTATGATTTACCTGATAGAGAAAATGCACGTATTAGATAAGCTTCATTTAAGCATGAGTTACAGAGCTGTTGCCATGTAGTCAACATTAATGAATCATCAAAATATATGAAAGGAGATGTCTTGAAACAGAACCATACATAAAGCAAGGTCATGCACTGGTCAGTTGTTGAAAATGCTGTGACCAGAGGCACTTAGGAACTTAACCCCGTATTTCCCCGTAGAGTAACAGTTCAATGTGCTCTACATTAAGGCTCACAGAAACTTTATAGAACAGAACTGCTAAAGATATAGACTAGTGACTATTTATAAAGCAAAACTGATAGGACTATCAATAGAAACAAAGAAATCTATCAAAATGAAATTCAATCTTTCCTCTCTAACCAGTGATAGATCGAACAGACAAAAACAAATCAACAGGAACATGAAAATTTTGAGCAACACAATGAACATATGTATTCTGCAGGCAAATCAACCTCCAGCCGTTCTGATAGGATACAATGAAAAGAATGCAGTGTTCCTCTGTGTTACTCCTGCGTGCAGGTAGAATCTGAATCTAATCATGAGGCAACACTTGATAAACTCAAACTGAGATATTTCAAAATTGTCAAAGTCATGAAAGAAAGGTAGGACAATTCCGTATGAAAGAAAGTTAATAGACAATTAGCCAAAGGCAATGCGTGATACTGGATTGGATTCTGGAGCTACATGAAAATGTAGTTATAGCAGACAGATGGGGAGAAATGATGAAATTTGAATATAGACATTATTCAGTCATTTTATGATATTTGATTATGAACTATGAATTAGATAATAGTATAATATCAATATTCAATTTATAATTTTAATAACTATGGTTGTGGAAGAGAATGTTCTAGAGATTTATGAAATATGCACTGAAGTATTTCGGGGTCACAGGTATGAGATCTGCAACCTATTCTCAAATGGATCTAAGAAAATATGATAGGGTGAGAAGAGAGAGAAGAAAGGAAGAGAAGAGGAATCATAAAGCCAATGGGAATAAACATAAATAAACAATGGTTCTGGCTAAAAGTATATAAAAATTTTCTTCGCACTAGTCTTGAAACTTTCCTAAGGTTGAAATTTTGTCCTGTAAATTACCAAAATCCAAAACAAAAGCTTACATAAAGAAATGAGGATAAAAATAAGTGGAAAATAAAACATTCGACAGAGTATACGAATAGATGTTCATCCTCCTAGCAAGCCACTTGATTGGTGGAGGATCACCATAATGTACTACTGACACCAAAATAAAGCATATGGAGAACGAGAGCAACAAGGAGTACGGGACAGATAAAACTCGGGTTAAAAGCTGCCATTTGGGAGAATGATTGTCACTTACCAGGAATAGTCATAGGTTCTGTGAGCAACATTTATTCAGACAGCATTAATTTAAAAAAATTAATTAGACATCTACAATTCACTGGATATCATGGCAGGCACTACAGATACTAGAGTGTCTTGGTCTTGACATCAAATGAGTAGTTGTCCATCAATGAGTCCATCAAATGAGTAGCTGTCTCAATGAGTAGTTGTCCATCAAATGAGTCTTGGAAGGCAGACCGACCAAGGAGGTGTGCAGAGCTCCATTCAGAGCCAAGGTGCCAAACAAAAGCACGGTTGTCAAAATCAACACTTAAAACAGAAGTGTTAATGTGGAAAAGTGTAAGAATGAAGAGCAAGCCTCCAGCAGAAGATTAGAAACAACTGATAATGCTGTTTGGAAAAACAGGGTAGTGATACAGAGGGCGAGAATCAGATTTGTCCTGATATTCGAAAATAATCTTAACAGTATGGTCTGTGAGACTGGTCGAGTAGGTTAAATTAAACAAAATTTAGCAAAGAGCAGAGAGTGAGTTCAAGACTCAGCTCAGTGCTCAACATCACTAAGAGATTATTCCCGAGAATTACCTCCTCATCTAATCTGGTCCCGTTTCACCTGCCTGTGATCCTGAATACGTGGGAACAGGGAATTTCCTATGGAAACACCAATAGGTATATCTGCCTCCTCCCTAGACCAGGACTTCTCTCAAGCAAGAATTATTTCCTTTTCATCTATTCTTCCCAACATCTTGGGAAGTGCTGGGCCTGGAATAAGTTCTGCATGCATTTTTTAAGAAAAAATGAATAAATGAATATTAATTCAGTAGACATCAAAACTGTAGCTGATGTTACACAAAAACAAGAATAGGGGAAATAAAAAGCAACCATAACATTCTTAGCAAATGCATGGTGATGTGCATTTTTTTTTTGGTGGGGGCTGGGCTTGAACCCACCACCTCTGGCATACGGGACCGTTGCCCTACCCTTTTGAGCTATAGATGCCACCCGATGTGCATTATTTTTATACAATGATAAAAAGTTCAAAATGGTGAGAATCCAGAACAAAAATGCACTGGCTGTGGGAGGGCTGTTCTGTCTTTCTGACAAGATCCTTCATCCTTCTCCCTCGCCTTACAAGATTTCACAAAACAGTTGAGATCTAAGAAGCTATGTTTTGGGGAGAGAGAAGTAGTCCTCTAGCAAAGAAAATTTGCTCAGTGGGTTACAATTAAGCTCATAGTTACATATTTAAAATAATTCCCCTTGAGAGGTAGTCACAGATTGTTCCCCCATGTAATTTCTTCAATATGTAGAACTTCCAGCTGAAATAAAACTTGGATCTGAACAGTTAAAAACTCAGAACTGACAGGGGAAGGAAAATACAGCGTCCTCGATCTTGCATCTCTGTTTGCTCCCTCCGTAAAGGACGTTACCATTTGTCATTCTGGCGTAACGTTCATCGTGTTTTCATCTGCAGAGCCCTGATTTCTTTGCTGCAAATATTGCTATTTGTTTCTCCTTCTTCTTTACACACGTTTAAAAAGGTAATTGACTTCTGATGGAAGAATTGCCTGATTTTGGAGATGAGTTTCCAGAATGATGAAAATACAGAATACTTTTCCCCATGTCCAGTTGGAGGGTCAGAGTATGGTAGCCAAGTAAGAACCAGAAGCTTGAAAAAATGCTTAATCTACATTTGCTATATTTTCCTGTCAGTTTTCACTATGGAAACTATTTCTTGCTGAGAAAACAATAGGCTATCACAAATCTTTCCATTCTTTTGTAGCATCTTGCAGTCTTACAGTTGGATATGATTTTTGAGCAAAGTTCTTCCAACTCATGTGCCACTGCACTGTGGTGCCCTCTGAACATGTCAGAGGAGAGTGGAGATGGCAACTGGAGTGGTGTGGACTGAGCTGCAGCCAGTTGCCTCCCACATTAAACAATTCATCCCCGTTCATGCAGCATACTGCCTTACACCATGCAACATAAATGCCTTTTGTGCCATGATAGGGAAACGACTGTACCATTGCCTTCTACATCACACAGTCTAACTTACTTATAAAGAAATGCTACCATGTTTCCCTGAAAATAAGACCTACCCAAAAAATAAGCCCTAGCAGGATTTCTATGCATTTGTTAATATAAGCCCTACCCCCATAATAAGACCTAGTGATGAGTGTGGCTATGCAGCGTATCTGCATAGCCGTGCCATGCATTTTGGCACGGAGAGAAGACATCCCCTGAAAATAAGCCCTAGTGTGTCTTCTTGGGAAAAAATAAATATAAGACAGTGTCTTCTTTTCGGGGAAACACAGTAGAGTTATGAACCCTTATGGGACACAACTATTTGACTTCTATTTGCACATTTTCCATGACTGATTTCTCAATATTTCATGGAACAGCAACTCTCTTGGAGGGAGAGTCCAGAGAAAGAAGTAAAAAAAAAAATAAAATTATCCTCTAATCTTTGTAAATTGGCACAAATCCTGTGTTTGAAGCCACAGTGGACACAATTTCCTATGGTAGTTTTGAATCTTAGAATTCATAATTCAGATGTCAAGTACTTCTTTATTTATCATTTCTCTAGGACTTACATCCTCAATTTCCTAAAATGTTTCTAAGCTGGGAAGGCTAGAGAAACTTCCACAACTGAGCCACAACCCCATTCCCATGGAAATGTTTCGGGTAAAATGAAGGTTCTACAAATGGCTATTCGATGTAACTGAACCAACTCTTACTTA